AGAATGTTTTATGTTCTCTTGAAAAGAATGTGTAGGGTGCCTGGGTGGCTCAGATGGTTAAGCGTCTGCCTTCTGCTCAGGTCATGGTCCCGGGGTCCTGGGATCGAGTCCCGCATCGGGCTCCCTGCTCCTTGGGAGCCTGCTTCTCCCTCTGCCTCTCTCTCTCTCTGTCTCTCATGAATAAATAAATAAAATCTTAACAAAAAAAAAAAAGAAAAGAATGTGTATTTTGTAAGTTCTGTATATATCTATTAAGTCCATCTGGTCTAATGTGTGATCCAAAGACACTGTTTGCTTATTGATTTTCTGCCTGGAGATCTTTCCATTAATGTAAATGAAGTGTTAAAGTCTCCTACTATTATTGTGTTACTGTCAAGTTCTCCCTTTATGTCAGTTAATATTTGCTTTATGTATTTAGGTGCTCCAATGTTGGGTGCGTAGATATTTACAATTTTTATATTCTCTTGTTGGGAGAATATAAAATGTAATGTTGGGCATTACATTTGTCTCTTGTTACAGTCTTTGTTTTAAAGTCTATTTTCTCTGATATAAGTATTGCTACCCCAGCTTGTTCTTTTGCTTTCACTTACATGGGATATTTCACTTTTAGTGCATATCTTTAGGTCTGAAGTGAGTCTCTTGTAGGCAGCATATACTTTTTTTTATCCATTCAGTCACTCTGTGTCTTTTGATTAGAACATTTAGACCATTTACATTTAAAGTAATTATTGGTAAGTATGTACTTACTGCCATTTTAATCATTTTCCATTTGTTTTTGTAGTTCTCTTTTCCTTCTTCCTCTCCTTGTAATCTCTTTCCTTGTGGTTGATGATTTTCTTTATTGTTATGCTTGGATTTTTTCTTTTTCTTTTTTTGTGTATCTATTGTAGGTTTTTTGTTTGTGCTTACCATGAGTTTCATATATAACATCCTCAGTGTATGGCAGTCCATATTAAGTTGATGATCACTTAATTTCAAATACATTCTAGAAGAACTTCATTTTTTTAAAAAGATTTTATTTATTTATTTGACACAGAGAGAGAGAAAGAGAGAGAGAGCACAAGCAGGGGGAGTGGCAGGCAGAGGCAGAGGGAGATGCAGACTCCCCACAGAGCAGGGGGAGCCTGATACAGGACTGGATCCCAGGACCTGGAGATCATGACCTAAGCCAAAGGCAGTTGCTTAACCAACTGAGCCACCCAGGTGCCCTAAAAGAATTTCATTTTTACTCCATATTTTATGTGTATGTTTTCATATTTTATATCTTTTTTTTGAATCTCCTTACCTAATTTAAAGATATAACTGATTTTACTACTTTGCCTTTTAACCTTCATACTAGCTGAATAAATAATTGCTCTACTACCTTTACTATATGTTTGCTTTTACTCATGATATTTTTTCCTTTTATAACTTTCTTCTAATTATGGCCTTTTCTTTTCCACTTAGAAAAGTTCTTTTAACATTTCTTGTAAGTTTAATGGTGCTGAACTCTAACTCTTGTTTGTCTGGGGAACTCTTTATGTTTCCCTCTATTCTGAATGATAATCTCATGGGAAGAGTATTCTTTGTTGTAGGTTTTTTTCTTTTTAACACTTTGAATATATCATGCCACTCCCTTCTGACCTGCAAACCTTCTGCTGAAAAATCAGCTGATGGCCTTATGGGGTTTCTTCTGGACATTACTAGTTGCTTCTTGCTGCTTTTTAAAATTCTGTCTTTATCTTTAATCTTTAACACTTTTATTATGTGTCTTGTGGTGTGGCCCTCCTTGCATTCATCTTGTTTGGAACTCTCTGTGCTTCCTGAACCTGGATGTCTGTTTCCTTTTCCAGGTTAGGGAAGTTTTCAAATATTATTTCTTCAAATAAGTTTTCTGCTCCTTTCTCTCTCTCTTCTCCTTTTGGGACCCTTTTAATGCAAATGTTTGTCTGCTTGATGTTGACCAAGAGATCCCTTAACCTGTCCTCCTTTTGTTTTATTCTTTTTTTTCTTTCTGCTGTTCAGGTTGGGTGTTCACATTACCTGTCTTCCAGGCCACTGATTTGTTTGGCATCCTCTAATCTGCTGTTGATTCCCTTTAGTATATTTTTCATTTCAGTTATTGTATTCTTCAACCCTGATTTTTTTATTTTTTTATTTTCTATCTCTTTGTTGAAGTTCTAAGTTCATCCCTTCTTTTCTCCAATGCAGTAAATATCTTTATGACATTAATTTGAACTCTTTATCAGGAAGATTGGTTATCTCTGTTTCATTTAGTTCTTTTCCTGAGATTTTTGTCTTGTTCTTTTGCTTGGATCATATTCCTCTATCTCCTAATTTTGCTTCACTTTCTGTGTTTGTTTCTAAGAATTCAGCAGAACACCTACTTCTCCTAAACCTGAAAGAAGGGTCTTGTGTATGGTCATTTCCTGTGTAGTCTGTGTGTGCCTGGTGACTTTGGCTGGCTGGCTGGATCTGTGGTTGGGGTAGGTTGGGGATCCTGTGGTACTGTGTGCTGGAGTTGCCCTGATGCAATGGCCAGAGCTGAAGTGAGCATGGGCTGGGATGGTCCTGGGACTCTCCATGCATGGGGTGCACTGGCTGGGCATCTGAATCTGAAATGGGTGTGGGTTGGGGTCATCTTGTGGCTTTCTATGCAGAGAGCTCCTAAGCAGTACAGCTAAAGCTGAAGTGGGTGCAAGCCAAGGTGTCCTGGGCACTCCATACAAGAGGTACCTGGGAGGGGAGGTTAAAACCAAGGTGGTCATGGGCCGTGTGTTCCCAGGTGCTTTGGAGGGGTGGCTGGAGCCAAAGCAGGCATGAGCTGAGAGGTCCGAGAGTGCTCTCTGCTGGGGTGCGCTAGCAAGCTTTCTGGAGCTGAAGTGGTATGGGCCTGGAATGTACTGGGGTGCTTTGCACCTGTGTCACCTTGGTGACATGGCTGGAGCTGTAGTGAATGCTGAACAGGGATGTCCCAGGGTGCACTGTGTTGGGGCTTCTTTGGTGGGACAGCTTGGGCTGGTGTGACCTAGGGGCCCAGAGTTCACTGAGGCAGTAGGTCAGCTAGGGCACCTGAACCCTGCTCCTATCCATGCTATCAAGGCAGAGGGGGAACATAATCTGTGCCTACCAGGCTCTCTGACCTGGAGAGCATTCCAGCAGCTCCCCTGCCACTTGGTGAAGTTTTAGGGTGGGTCTTTTTGTATTCTAGCTGTTTTTTTTTTTTTTTTTCCTTTACCCAGTGTGTCCAGGCTGGCTGTAGCAATGGGACTTGCTCCTGTCTAGCAGTTTGTATTTTAAGAAAGCCTCTTTTCTTTTTTACTCTTCTAGTCTCAGGTGATTGTGGGCTGTGTTTACATTTCAGTGGCATGATAAGATGTATAACTTCAACAGACAGAGAAAGAATGTAAGTTCTATGTAGGACTTTGGTTTTCTAAAGCAATAATTTACAAGCCTTCTGAGATAAATAGGGGAAGTTTTGTGATAGGTACGGGAATAGCTAAAGTTTGAATTGCCTCCAGAGCTGACTTTTGTTTTGCAAAAGATTTGTAAGATAAGGAGAGTTGCTCTCAATTTCTCAGAGACTTGGATTGTAACTTAAATTACATCATAAGTTGATCCCCCTATCTAACTATATTATTCTTAATGTACTTCTTTTCACTGGGTACATAGTTTTAATTTAAAATTTTTTGGCAGTATTGAATAACTACCCCCACCTTGGGTGTAAGATGGGTCCCCAAAGAGGGTGCAAAAGATAGTACCTTCCCAAGATCCAGAGTCACTCCCAATGATAGCCAAAGGAAAAAACCAACAACTGGCATGTACCAGGCAGGCAGAAAGCCAAGCCCAGTTATGTAAAATGAGACAAGCAAGAAGGCAATGACTATCTCTGAGAGAGAAAGGATTAATTAACCAATGGGTTTGGATTTGGAAAGGAAAGGACAGTGTAAAATATTATCTTTACCTCTTGCCTGCAGGGTGCTACAGACAGAGATTCAGAAGAATTGATTCTGGTAAGAATTTTTACTCTTTGCTGGCTTCTGTCAGTTTTTCTAAGATCCCCCCTATAGGCTCTGGTATCTACCAGAGTTCCCCCTTGGTTATTTAAGGAATAATAGTTTACCAAAAATCCCTCAGTGTCATCAATTTTGGCCATCTGAGGACTCTCCTGTCCTTCCATTAACTTGAAAGACATTTGTTTATGGTTGTATATAGTCTTTCAGAGTGGACAAACAATTTAGACTAGAGTGAGCACTCAAAAGAGGAAAGAGGGCAGTAGTAGGAGTTACATCAGTTTTATAGTCTTTTCTTTTAGGTACTTCTTACGTCTTTAAATTTTCTTTAGCCTTTTGTAACCTTTCAATGAAACTATTTTGGAATTTTGAAACCTTCTGGAGGCTTTTCCTTGCCAAGTAAAATGGGTATCCCATTCTGTTTAATTTAGGAACCCTTGCTTTTACATACATTTTTTTTTTTAAGATTGTATTTATTTATTTGTCAGAGAGAGAGAGAGTGAGAGAGAGAGAGCACAAGCAGGGAGGGTGGCAGAGGGAGAGGGAAAAGCAGGCTCCCTGCTGAGCAAGGGGCCCGATGCAGGACTCGATCCCAGGACCCTGGGATGGTGACCTGAGCTGAAGGCAGATGCTTAAGCAACTGAGCCACCCAGATACCCCTTTGGTTTTCTTTTTAACATCAGTGTGGAGTCAGGCCAGCTGGCCATCTTGGGTATTCTTCACTAAGAAACATCGGGGAGTCTTGATGACTGGTAAGCCTGGGACCCCATTATGCAGCCATCCAAATGGGGACTGTCACCAGTCTAAAGCTTTCACCTCAGAAAGATTTTCAAGGATGGGCTCCCTTCAATCTGGGGATGGGCCTCAGATGCCCAAGGCAGGATGACAGGGCTCATACTATACATGCTCAGGTCACACAGGTCAGGTACGCCAGGGGCCTGGAACTGGGCAAGTGTCAGGAGAGGCCAGGTCTGAAGAATGGGTTCCAAGGTGTCCATGACATCTGCCTAATTCCAGGCCCTGTCTTACATAATGTGCATATTCCCCCTGAAGGTAAAGATGGAGGATACTGGCCTCTTTTGCCTGAGCAGGGCCAAGAGGGCTAGCTGGGGTAAGCTTGTGAATGTATCTAAGAAGTTCTGGTTGATGGAGAACTCCAGGACTCCTTGAGGCAGTAAGTCCAAATGCAGCTTCAGGGTGAATTTAGGGGGTGGTCCCCCTCCACACCAAAGCTTATGCAGGTGTTTGGGGCCAGGCCCTGCTCCATCAGCCTGGAGGGCCCTTGAGGCCTCAGGCCAGCTGGAGGGGTGCTAACTATGCATGCACAGTCAGAGCAGTTCAGGGTAGCTAGGAATCTGGAAAAAAGGGCACAGATCCAGGGAGGCTGAGTCATGGAACAAGATCTTTTGGACAAAAGGCATCTGCCTCAATTCAAGCTCTCACCTATACCTTTGTGCATATTCCCTTTGACAACAGGACTGGAGGATACTGGTCTGCTTTCCTAGGGCAGGGTGGGTGTGCTGGCTGGGGTATCATCTAGTAAGAGACATTTGGGATCCCGGTTGCTAGAGAAGACCAGGAGTCCGTCAGGCAGCAAGTCCAAATTGGGACTGATAGTAGCCAATTTGCAGCTGTAGACTCATGGTGATTTTTGGTGGTGAGCACCCTCCACGCTACAGCCTGTGCGGGGCTTCCAACTGCGCATGCCCTGGCAGTGCAGTTCAGGGTAAACAGAAAATTGGAACCACTCAAGACTTGGGAGAAGCCAGATCTCAACAGTGGAATGTTTGGGATACCTGGCATCTGCCCAAGTCTAAGGCCTAACGTACACAAATGCACTTGTGTCTTCTGAAGGCAGAGCTGAAGGAATCTGGACCTCCTTGCCAGGAAGGGGCCAGTCATACTGGCCAGGGTATCCTTCAGTAGGAGACTCCTGGGAGCCCTGATTACTGGTAAGCCTGGGAAACCAGCCACAGTAAGTCCACATGGGGACTGACTGTCACCCATTTCAATTGCTACCTGAGAGTGATTTTTGGAGTGTGCGCTCCGTCCAACCTTGAGGCAATGCAGGGGTTTGGGGATGGGCTCTAGCTCCACAGGTCGGGAGGGCCTAGGCAGCCCAAAGTGGCTGAAGTGGTGCTTACTGCATATGCATGGACAGTGAGGTCAGGTTAGTCAGGGACCTGGAATGGGGCAAGTATCAGGAGAGGTCATGTCACTGGTGCAGGCTCCTGGGGTACAAGGTATGGACCTAATTGTAAGGCCTACCTACCAATTATGCAATATTCCCCCGAAAGGCAGAGCTGAAGGTTTTTCAACTGCTCTGCCAAGAAGAGGCAGGGTGTGCAGGACAGAGTATCCCACTGTGAGGAGACACGTGGGAGTCCTTGTTCCTTGTTCAGGCCAGGACCCCCTCAGGCAGCAAACCCACAAGGTGACAGACTGTTGTACATTTGCAGCTTCTGCCTCAGAGCTTTTTCCGGTAGGTGGGCTCCCTCTACCCCCAGAGGATCTGCAGGTGGTTGGGGCCTGGTCAGAGTTCCATAAGCTTGGAGGGCTGGGTCTGCAGAAGCTGGCTTCTGGGTACATACATGTGCAGTCCACACAGGCAGCATAACCAGGGACTATTACAGGAAAAATTTTGGCAGAAGCTGCTCATGAGAGCAGGCTGTTGGGTTTACAAGGCATCTACTTGATACCAAGCCATAACCTAAACAAGCATGCTTATTTCCCCTGAAGGCAGATCAGCAGGAAGCTGTACCGCCTTGCCAGGGTGGTTCCAGGCAGAGTGGCTAGGGTAGCCGCCTATAAGAGACACTTGGGAGCCTTGATTGCTGGAAAAGCCCAGGACCTCATCGGCCAGCCAGTCCAAGTGTGGTCTGACTCTTAGCTGCCACCTTGGGAAAGGGAAAGGATCCCTCCCCACAGGAGGCTGTGCAAGTAGTTAGGTACTGGTTTGAACTGGAGGGCCCTGGCAGCCCATGGCCAGATGATGGGGTGCATACAGTGCGTACGTGGGCCATGTGGGTCAGTATAGCCAGGGAACAGGGCAAGTGTCCAGAGAGGCTGTGTCCTTGGTGAGGGCTTTTGTGGGTCAAAAATATCTGCCTAATTTCAAGCCCTTATCTTTACAAATACACACATTTCCCCTGAAGTCAGGGCTGGAGGAAATTGGATGCCTTTCTAGGGAGGGCTGGGCAGGTGGGCAAGGGTATCTTTCAGTACGAGACACCTGGGAGACTTGGTTGCTGAAGGAGTCCAGAACCCCATCAGGCAGCCAGTCAAATGGGAACTGAGAGTTTCAAGATTAAAGTTGATGCCTCAGAAGGATTTTGGGAGTGGCCTCCTTCTACCCTGGAAGCTATGTCTATAGTTGCAAACTGGCTCAAACTACACAGGTCTGGAGGGCCCAAGATGCCTAAGTCTGGCTGTCCCGGTGTGGGCTGCACAGGCCTAGGAAACCAGGGACCCGGAACTGGGCAGTGTCTGGAGAATCCAGGTCTCAAGAGTAGTCTCTAGGGGGTTCATGGCATCTGCCTTATTCCAAACCCTAACCAATAAAGATGCACCTGTGGAGGCCAAGGATAGGCTACCCCAACATGTGCCACTTTGGTATATTATTTTGAGTTAACATTACTTAAGAAACAGCCAGTGCAAAAGGTCACCCAGATCCCCCTTTGTCTCCAGAAGGCAGGAAATAAATCTCACATGTGAAAGGTACCCTCCCTGAACCAAGATCTAAGAGACATCCTTATCACCAGTGGTAGGAAATTCAGAATTGAGAAGGCTGCATAAACAAATCTTGTTACTTTTACTAATTTACAACCTCAGCCCAAATTCTTTTTAGAATTCCTTGCTAACTGAAGGTCCCAAACATAAGTGTTCTTTGTTCTGTCAACTTCTCACAGATTTATTGTTTCTTTGTCTAAAAAGTATAAAAGCTGCCTGCCTTGGTCATTTCTTTGGGTCTCAATTTTATCATGTGCAGTTAATTAAGCTTTGTTTTCTTCTCCCACGAATCTGCCTCCTGTCACTTTAATTCTTAGACAAGGTAGAGGAACTTTGAGGGTGGAGGAAAATTTTTCCTCAACAGTTGGCATAGTCAGCTGGACAGTGTTTGCTCTGAGGCTGCTGCTGCTGAGAAATCCTGGAACTTCTGAGAAATGGCTGGCAGAGGTAGGAATCCTTACATGTCAGCCCTTGGCTCTCTGCCTGCAGGGTCTAATGGAGTGAAAGGGGGAAGAGTCCATTTTCTCTCACTTTCTAAATCTAGATTAGGAAGATAAATCATTTGTGGAACTAGTTTCTTGGGCTTAGTGACTCTGGCAAATTTGGTAGAGTGCTCTTGGTGTGACTGATCCATTTTCAGAGATGGTCACTATTTTGTCTTTCATGTCATTTGTCATAAAAAGGAATTACCACAGGGAAAAGAACACAAGTCTAAGCTCTTTTAAGCCTGCTGTCCAAGCCAGCCTCACAGAGTGGTGAGTTCATAGTTCCCAGAAGACTGGTGTCTGTTTAGACAAACTTAGCTGTGGGTCCTCTCTGTAAAAACAAGATGTTTTCCCTTTCATCTTGTTCTATGTCCTAAGAGCTTGGCTTTGTACCAGTGAGAATATCCTCTCTGGTCTCTGTCCTCTCTGATGTACTTACTGGGGTGCACCAGGTGGCCAGTGGACTAGAGTGCAGTTCTGGAACACAAGGCTACCAGCAGCACTCTCTGTCCAGCCATGCCAGCTCTCAGTGGAGTTTGTCAGAAAAGGTCCCCAGCCCATAAGGGACGTTTGTCTCTCAACCTTCATTGCTTGTTAATACTGGAAAGTCCCATTCTAGTAGTGCCTGCCTGGTGTAATGGATTAGCAGGTCTGTGACTGGAGCTGTCTCACATTTTTATGAGAGAACAGAGACACTGTCTTCACTACACCATCCCTACTGCTTGTGCAATGAACACCTTTTGCTTTCTTAGAGTATTTCTGGGAGTAAACTTTTGGATCACGGGGGCTACATCATGGACCCCCCTCTCTAAGCATGCCTCTTGCATCCGTGGTCTAAGCCTGGAAAATTGACTTTGGATCTTTCCATTAAAAGGTGTGTTAGTTTGAGTAGTCATGGAGGTTAATAAGCTCCTACTTCTTTTTTTTTTTTTTTAATTTTTTATTGTTATGTTAATCACCATACATTACATCATTAGTTTTTGATGTAGTGTTCCATGATTCATTGTTTGTGCATAACACCCAGTGCTCCATGCAGAACTCTTTAATACCCATCACCAGGCTAACCCATTCTCCCACCCCCCTCCCCTCTAGAACCCTCAGTTTGTTTCTCAGAGTCCATCGTCTCTCATGGTTCGTCTACCCCTCCGATTTCCCCCCCTTCATTCTTCCCCTCCTGCTATCTTCTTCTTTTTTTTTTTTTTCTTAACATATAATGTATTATTTGTTTCAGAGGTACAGATCTGTGATTCAAAAGTCTTGCAAAATTCACAGCGCTCACCACAGCACATACCCTCCCCAGTGACCATCACCCAGCCATCCCATCCCTCCCACCCCAACCCCCACTCCAGCAACCCTCAGTTTGTTTCCTGAGATTAAGAATTCCTCATATCAGTGAGGTCATATGATACATGTCTTTCTCTGATTGACTTATTTCGCTCAGCATAACACCCTCCAGTTCCATCCACGTCGTTGCAAATGGCAAGATCTCATTCCTTTTGATGGCTGCATAATATTCCATCATATATATATACCACATCTTCTTTATCCATTCATCTGTCGATGGACATCTTGGCTCTTCCCACAGTTTGGCTATTGTGGACATTGCTGCTATAAACATCGGGGTGCACATACCCCTTCGGATCCCTACATTTGTATCTTTGGGGTAAATACCCAGTAGTGCAATTGCTGGATAATATGGTAGCTCTATCTTCAACTTTTTGAGGAACCTCCATACTGTTTTCCAGAGTGGTTGCACCAGCTTGCATTCCCACCAACAGTGTAGGAGGGTTCCCCTTTCTCCGCATCCCCGCCAACATAATAAGCTCCTACTTCTTAATGGCCAGATGATGATCCTTTAAATTTGTTATATTTGAAAGAAGAGAAATTTCTTGGTAGAAAGCTCTCAATTATCTTATTAGTATAACAGCTAGCCTTAGGGACTCCCTTGATAAGATGAAAGAACAGAAATTAGACTTAAGACCAAATTTAATGTCCACATCCAATTTAAATCCCCCTTCTCACAATTTGGCCCCATCTATGTGTTTTAACTTCCTTTTCCCTATATGACTTACAGAGAGCACTCTGGCTAATCTCTAGGTTCAAAGTACACAGATTACTCATGTAAGTGCTGAAAGCTAGGAAATGAATTTCACACAAGCTCCTGAGACTGGTAGGAAGGCTGGATTTGCTCCTACTTTCCAGGGCTCTATAATCAGGCTCTGCCAGTTTCAGGCATTCCTATGTGACGTCCTTTGCAGATACATCCTAGATGTCCCCCAGCCACCACCACCAAAAGGAAATTCTTATCCCCTGAACAGCAGCAGGTCTTTTCAATCTTTAAGCTCTTTACCTCCATTTTCATAAGATCTTCCCAAATTTAGGGAGAAATTATATCAGTGGCCATTCACAACACCCCCTCACAGAGAAAACAGGTGACCAAAATATCTTCTAGGTCTGCCTAAAAATGATCAGCAGAAGGGCTGATGTTCAGGGACTGATAGAAGCCAATGCTGAATTGTGTACTCAGAAACAAGACTTGTTAAAATGCAGACAAAATGAAAGCAGGTGGAGCACAGAGGACTCCAGCTAAGGTCTGGTTATTGATAGATTAATTAGTTGGAATTTTCTGTTGACCCATTCAAGCGATGGGTCAGAGGAGTTGGCATGGCATTTCCTGAGAGGCTATGCCTTCCTAGAGGGGTCTTTTCTAAAATCCTTGTAAAGAGGTATAAATCCAT